TGGTGTAGTCGATTTTTGGTAAAAAAGGAAGGTTATACACTGCCTTTTTTTGAGACCCGAAAAAAAATTGTCTCAGATCGACCCGGAAAAAAAATTCTCTTATAGAATGTGGCCTGTAGAATCCATAATTTCAAACAGTTCCAAGATTGGGCTACTAGTTCAAAAGTTACAGCCCTTTGAATTTTCTTTGGAAATTGGTTTCTAGTCGATAACTTTTGATTGAGAAGTCTGATCGAAAAAGTACGAATTGTTTTGTATTCCACGCACCAAAATTAATAAGAAAAAGTGTTTTCCCGAGAAATTCTGGTGCAGTCGATTTTTGGTAAAAAAGGAAGGTTATACACTGCCTTTTTTTGAGCCCCGAAAAGAAAATTGTCTCAGATCGATCCGGAAAACAAAATTTCTTATAGAATGTGGCCTGTAGAATCCATAATTTCAAACAGTTCCAAGATTGGGCTACTAGTTCAAAAGTTACAGCCCTTTGAATTTTTTTTCGAAATTGGTTTCTAGTCTATAACTTTGATTGAGAAATCTGATCGAAAAAGTACGAATTGTTTTGTATTCCACGCACCAAACTTAATAACAAAAAGTGTTTTCCCGAGAAATTTTGGTGCAGTCGATTTTTGGTAAAAAAGCAAGGTTATACACTGCCTTTTTTTGAGCCCCGAAAAAAAATTGTCTCAGATCGACCCGGAAAAAAAATTCTCTTATAGAATGTGGCCTGTAGAATCCATAATTTCAAACAGTTCCAAGATTGGGCTACTAGTTCAAAAGTTACAGCCCTTTGAATTTTCTTTGGAAATTGGTTTCTAGTCGATAACTTTTGATTGAGAAGTCTGATCGAAAAAGTACGAATTGTTTGGGATTCTACGCACCAAAATTAATAGAAAAAGTGTTTTCCCGAGAAATTTTGGTGCAGTCGATTTTTGGTAAAAAAGGAAGGTTATACACTGCCTTTTTTTGAGCCCCGAAAAGAAAATTGTCTCAGATCGATCCGGAAAACAAAATTTCTTATAGAATGTGGCCTGTAGAATCCATAATTTCAAACAGTTCCAAGATTGGGCTACTAGTTCAAAAGTTACAGCCCTTTGAATTTTTTTTCGAAATTGGTTTCTAGTCTATAACTTTGATTGAGAAATCTGATCGAAAAAGTACGAATTGTTTTGTATTCCACGCACCAAACTTAATAACAAAAAGTGTTTTCCCGAGAAATTTTGGTGCAGTCGATTTTTGGTAAAAAAGCAAGGTTATACACTGCCTTTTTTTGAGCCCCGAAAAAAAAATTGTCTCAGATCGATCCGGAAAACAAAATTTTTATAGAATGTGGCCTGTAGAATCCATAATTTCAAACAGTTCCAAGATTGGGCCACTAGTTCAAAAGTTACAGCACTTTGAATTTTCTTTGGAAATTGGTTTCTAGTCTATAACTTTTGATTGAGAAGTCTGATCGAAAAAGTACGAATTGTTTTGTATTCCACGCACCAAACTTAATAAGAAAAAGTGTTTTCCTGAGAAATTTTGGTGCAGTCGATTTTTGGTAAAAAAGCAAGGTTATACACTGCCTTTTTTGAGCCCCGAAAAAAAAATTGTCTCAGATCGATGCGGAAAAAAAAATTTCTGATAGAATGTGGCCTGTAGAATCCACAATTTCAAACAGTTCCAAGATTGGGCTACTAGTTCAAAAGTTACAGCCCTTTGAATTTTTTTTCGAAATTGGTTTCTAGTCTAGAATTTTTGATTGAGAAGTCTGATCGAAAAAGTACGAATTGTTTTGGATTCTACGCACCAAAATTAATAACAAAAAGTGTTTTCCCGAGAAATTTTGGTGTAGTCGATTTTTGGTAAAAAGGAAGGTTATACACTGCCTTTTTTTGAGGCCCGAAAAAAAAATTGTCTCAGATCGACCGGGAAAAAACATTTTCTTATAGAATGTGGCCTGTAAAATCCATAATTTCAAACAGTTCCAAGATTGGGCTACTAGTTCAAAAGTTACAGCCCTTTGAATTTTCTTTCGAAAATGGTTTCTAGTCTATAACTTTTGATTGAGAAGTCTGATCGAAAAAGTACGAATTGTTTTGGATTCTACGCACCAAAATTAATAAGAAAAAATGTTTTCCCGAGAAATTTTGGTGCAGTCGATTTTTGGTAAAAAAGGAAGGTTGTACACTGCCTTTTTTTGAGGCCCTCAAAAAAAATTGTCTCAGATCGACCCGGAAAAAAATTTCTTATAGAATGTGGCCTGTAGAATCCATAATTTCAAACAGTTCCAAGATTGGGCTACTAGTTCAAAAGTTACAGCCCTTTGAATTTTTTTTCGAAATTCGTTTCTAGTCTATAACTTTTGATTGAGAAGTCTGATCAAAAAATTACGAATTGTTTTGGATTCTACGCACCAAAATTAATAAGAAAAAGTGTTTTC